GTGTCCTTCATGGCCTTTGAGACCTTTTCTAATATTTTGCCATTTCGTTTACTGCTACGGAGTTCAGCTAGCACTGATTCATCTCCCCATATGGCGAGCAGATCCCGTACCTCCCGTTCGGTCCATGATGGAGCTCTTTTGCGATCCTGGGACTCCATCGCGGTTACCTGTGCTGATGAGCTCTGCGTGGTCACCTGTGTTCTCAACACTGGGCAAACAGGAAATGAAATTCAAACGTTCGCGGGGCTTTTCCTGTCTACCTGGTCAGTGCATCTGAGTTGAGAGTGCTGTCCAGAGCAGTCACAATGAAGCACTGTGGGATAGCTCACGGAGGCCAATAACGTCGAATTCCGTTCACACTACCCCAATTCCGACCCACTAAGGCCGATTTTATTGCTAATCCCCTCGTCGGAGGTGGAGTAAAGAAACCGGTTTAAAGGGCCCTTTAAGTCGAAAAAAGGGACTTAGCCGTGTGAACGTGTCCAGGCTTAATTCAATGTAACGCTGCTAAATTCGACCTAAACTTGTAGTGTAGACCAGGCCTAACACTGAGTAATTCTAGAATGAAATTACTTTAATTCTGGAACAGAGAGTCCACACGGGGAGCTCTTCCAGAATAGCTATTGCTGAGTAGTTTGTTCCCTCTGTAGATAAACCCTTATCTGGCATCACAAGTATTTAGGTTACTTCAATGCCTAAATTGTGGGGGCAGAATTTCACCCCCAATTATTGTTACTCATAGAAATGGAAACCAGTGTCTGAAAATCTGCCAGAAAGTCTTTGCAGGAGGGTGAATTTGTTTGTGATGATTCCTGTATCTCATGCCCGGTTCTACACACCCAAATTACAATAAGATCGGTGCAGTGTGTAAATCTTTATGCAGTTTAAATTGATAGTATCTCTTCTATATATCGAGTACAATATTGTGCTAAAATGGATTCTGCTAGGATTGTTTTTTAAGCAATTTTAAAAGCCCCATTAAAAGCCAATTTATAGCATTTTAGTTTGGCAGTTTCAAAAGCTCCTTAGTTACCATTATATAGTAAATGATTCCACATGGATTTAAATTTTAATTCCAGCATATGAAATTGCCCCTGTGCTTCCATCTGCAGTGTCACGTAGCCTGGATTGCTCTAAACAATTTACAGTAACATTCCCCTGTATTTGAACTCATTGTTGCTCTCAGTCAAAAGCCGAAGGGAAACAGCATACTTCAGAATCCTAAAAATAAAAATTTCCCAGCAAAGAAGAAGAAAAAGCCTGTGTGAAGAAGCGGAATGCTTTCCCGTGAAAAGCAATCGGGAGGCTGTGCTATTACTTGTTGATGAAAGAGAAAAACTATTTACAAGCTATAAGGAAGAAGAGACAGAAGGGCCAGATGCATCAGCTGTTTCTTTTTCCATTAGCTTCTTTTACACAGGCCAAAGAAAACACAAATATAACTCCACTCAGTGAAAGGGTAGCATTAGACCCATATGTCTGAATACAGGTAGAGGAAACAAGCAGCAGGTAAAAAACATACTGAATCTGATAAAAAGGGAGTGCCTACCCAGCCTGGCCTGAGGGGCTTCTAGTGCATTTCTATCTATTTGACCCTGCTAAACTGGTTAGCTGTTCCCATGGGAACAAAAGCAACCCAAATTCTGAAGAAAACCCTCCAAAATTCCATGGTCAGCATGGAAATGCCAGATAGGAAGCTGCTACTCTGAAGTGTTAGAGCTCTTAAGTTAGTGCTTTACTGGTACTCTGAACAATCACATACACCCCTAATTTTTTAGTACTATCCAGGAAATTTAACAACATGATTCCCATTAATTTCAATGGAAGGGAGATGGTGAAAGATTCTCTGGGTGTGGATTCATGTAGTTGCATATTGAAAGAAAACAGTGGGGCATGTCATGGACACTTTCATAGCGAGGTCTAAGTCATTCTTTTCTGTGGAAAATATCCCATCGGAGAGTAAGGTGCTGTCATAGAACTCCATAAGGTTCACCATGTGCATTTACCACTGTCCTCAGCAAGGCTGGTCTGTAGTCATGTGACCAGAGCCGAGCATGTGATATGGCCTTTGAGCCCTGTGTAGCCTGAAAATCAGAGAAGAAACCAAGCTCCAAGCTTGTAGAATGAATGGCAGCCTCAGAGCATGCCAGCCACTCTGCTCTGCTTCCCAGGGCTCACGCCCTTTTCCTGAGGCCATTGGCTCCCAGGTGTGTCTGCTCCGCACTCATTGCTAGAAAGAAATGTTACCATTAACTTCTGATTGTTTTGTAGTGGTATTTTCACCAAGTTGCTAGGGCATCATCCTACACACCGCAGCAATTCTCCACCGCCAGCCGCACCTCAGGGAAGCACAGCCCAAACCTGCAGTGCTCCAGTTGTGCAGGATTTTCACAGCAGACTTCCATAGGTTCAAGGCAAACATGCCACAGAGCTCCATTCCCTTCTTCTGCTAGTTTCTGGGCCTTTCTGATCCCCTTTCACTCTCTTTTATTCTCTTCTGAGCTGCTCAAGGGTGGGGAGCATCTGGACTCCAGTCAAGAATATGTAGTAATAATTAGGGTTGCCAATTTTGTTTGGATGTATTTCTGGAAGTTTCATCACATGACATAATCTTTCATTGCTGGAGACTCCAGGACAATCCTGGAAGGTTGGCAACCCTATATTGATTTACTGATTTTTGTTAGTAAATACAGTCATACACTGCCCTGGGTGCTTTCACTGTGATTGGAAACACACAGTGTAAAAAAAAAGCATATGTAACAGACTACCTACCCTGTTTCCCCGAAAATAAGACAGTGTCTTATATTAACTTTTGCTCCCAAAGATGCGCTGCTTCTTATTTTCAGGCCATTTCTTATTTTTCAGAAGTG